CACGCGCCGCAGAAATCACGCTTCCAGAGGTCGTGACCGGGAAAGCTCTCGAGCGCGGGGTAGAGCACGTCGCCGACGATCGAGCCGGGCTCCTTGGCCATGTCTTCCAGCCAACGGGCGAGAGCCAGCGTCGTTTTCTGGTGCCGCTCCAGCCGGATGCCCATGGTCCTGAGGCCACGCAGAACGAGATAGGCGTCGTCCGGTGCGCCGCACGTGCCGAGCGCGACCTGCGTGTTGTAGAGCTGGCCCCACGTCGCCGCGTTGGCGCTGACCATACCCATGATCACGTCCGAATGGCCGCCGGGATATTTTGTCGCGGCATGGATCGAGATATCGACGCCATGGTCCAGCGGCTTGAAGAAGAGCGGCGTCGCCCACGTGTTGTCGATCATGGTGACGATGCCGCGCTCCTTGGCCGCGGCCGTCATGGCCGGCACGTCCTGGATCTCGAATGTGTTCGAGCCCGGCGCCTCCATGAAAACGACCTTGGTGTTGTCGCGGAACAGGGTCGCAATGTCGGCGCCGATTTCGGGCAGATAATATTCGACCTCGACGCCCATACGCGCGAGCATCGTGTCCGCAAAGCGCCGCGTCGGATAATAGACCGTATCGACGATGAGAACGTGATCGCCCGCCGACAGAAAGGCGAGCAGCGGCACGGTGACGGCTGCAAGACCGGAGGGGACGAGAATGGTGCCCGCGCTGCCTTCCAGCGCATTGACGGCCTCGCACAGCGCATCCGTCGTCGGGCTGCCATAGGTCGCGTAAGTATAGGGCTGGACGCGGCTTCGGCTTGTCGCGTCGGCATTGCGGACCTGTGTCGCCTTCATGGTCGCCGCGTCGGGGAACAGCACCGTCGAGCCATGCACGACCGGCGGGTTCACCCAGCCGAAATAGGCGTGCGGGTCGTTCCCCGAATGCGCCAATTGCGTGTTGATGCCGCGTTTGCCGCCCTTGCCGCCGCCTGCCATAGTAATTTTGGCCGCCGCCTGCCATGGTCCGGTGATCTCCTTGTCTCGTTCAGCGCCCAGCGCCTAGGCGGTCGTCCCGCCGGCGTCAACCTCAACCGGCCGGCAGGCGACGCGTCGCATGGATGCCGGCACTTCGCCAGGTCTTGCGGTGGCCTCGCACGAAAGCCGCCGGAGGCACCCAAACCGGCTCTCAAAACGCTTTGACGTTAAGTTAACCGGCGACCAAACCGGCAGATAGTCCTTGACCGGTCTCGTTTTTTGGCCTTGTCTCACATGCGGGAAGGGAGGTGCCGTTCGCGTTCTGGCTGTGGCCGGAGCACGCGGTAAGTCGGCGCTCAAGCCCAAAGCAACTTGAGCAACCATGAGGAAAAACGATGACAAAAACTGTACTCACAGGTGTCCTGGGAGCCGCCGTGCTTGCGCTCGGCGCGTCGACCGCATCGGCGGCAACGCTCGATGATGTCAAGGCCAAGGGCTTCGTGCAGTGCGGCGTGAGCCAGGGTCTGCCGGGGTTTTCCAACCCTGACGCCGATGGCGAATGGAGCGGCATGGATGTCGATCTGTGCCGGGGCATCGCCGCGGCGATCTTCGGCGACGCCACCGCTGTGAAGTTCACGCCGCTGTCGGCCAAGGAGCGTTTCACCGCGCTGCAGTCGGGCGAAGTCGATGTTCTGTCGCGCAACACGACCTGGACGATGAGCCGCGACACGCAGCTCGGCCTGAACTTCGCCGGCGTCAACTATTATGACGGCCAGGGCTTCATGATCCGCACGGACATGAACATCAATTCGGCGCTCGAACTGTCCGGTGCCTCGATCTGCACCAACACGGGCACGACGACCGAGCTGAACGTGGCCGACTATTTCCGTGCCAACAACATGGAGTACGAGCTGGTCGCCTTCGAAAAGGCCGATGAGGTCGTCGCCGCCTATGACGCCGGACGCTGCGACGTCTACACGACCGACCAGTCGGGCCTTTATGCGCAGCGCCTCAAGCTGACCGATCCCGGCGCCCACAAGGTTCTGCCGGAAATCATCTCCAAGGAGCCGCTCGGTCCGGTTGTCCGTCAGGGCGACGACCAGTGGTTCAACATCGTCAAGTGGGTACATTTCGCAACGCTGAACGCCGAGGAACTCGGTGTGACGATGGCCAATGTCGAGGAGATGAAGGAAAGCGACAATCCGTCGATCCGCCGCCTTCTCGGCACCGAGGGCGAGTTCGGCAGCGATATCGGTCTCGAAAACGACTGGGCCGCCAAGGCCATCGCCGCCGTCGGCAATTACGGCGAGATCTTCGACCGCAACGTCGGCCCGGACACCGAGCTGGCGATCGGACGCGGCGTGAACGCACTGTGGTCGCAGGGCGGCCTGCAATACGCACCGCCGATCCGCTGAAGACCGGCTGAAAAGGGCCCGGGCGGCATTCCGCCCGGGCACGTCCAGACGGCACGCACCAGCGGGATACGTCACGATCGTGACAGTGTGATCCCTGGGCCGCGTGGTCGATGGCGCCCGTTCAGGTCCCGACCGGTACCGACGACAAGAGCAAGGCAGGAGGTCGAATGGCTGTCACGGATATGGGGCGCGGGGTCGCCGATGCACCGCCCAAGGTGGCGCTGCTCAACAATCCCAAGTTTCGCAGCTGGCTGTTCCAGATCCTTTTGGGCGTGGCGGTCGCCTATCTCGTCTACTCGGGCTGGGTGAACATGAACGCCAACCTGCAGGCGGCCGGCGTCGCCTCGGGCTTCGGGTTCCTTGGCGAAAATGCCGGCTTCTCCGTTGCGCAGTCGCTGATCGACTATGACCAGGGCACATCATCCTATGGACGGGTCTATGTCGTTGGCGTCCTGAACACGCTCATCGTCGCCGTCGTCGGGATCGTTTTCGCGACCGTCATGGGCTTCCTGCTCGGCATCGCCCGGCTCTCCAACAACTGGATCGTCAGCCGCCTTGCCACCTCCTATGTCGAATTTGCCCGCAACGTCCCGCTGCTGCTGCAGATCTTCATCTGGTATTTCGGCGTCTTGCGGCTTCTGCCACAGCCGCGCGACAGCCTCGATTTCGGCCCGCTCGGCCTTCTGAACATTCGCGGCTATTTCGCGCCCAAGCCCGTCTGGGGCGATGGCTCGGCGTTCGTCCTTTACGCGCTCATCGCCGGCATCGTCATCGCGATCGGCGTATCGCGCTGGTCGTACCGGCGCCAGATGGCGACCGGTCAGCGCTTTCCGTCGCTCTGGGTCGGTCTTGGCGCCGCTGTCGGTCTTCCGCTTGTCGTGTTTCTTGCGCTTGGCGCGCCGCTCACCTGGGACATGCCTGTCCTGGGCGGGTTCCGGCCATCGGGCGGCATGACGGTCATCCCCGAATTCATCGCGCTGCTCGTCGCGCTGTCGACCTACACGGCCGCCTTTATCGCCGAGATCGTGCGCGCGGGCATTCTCGGCGTCAGCAAGGGACAGTCCGAGGCTGCCCACGCACTGGGACTGCGGCAGGGGCAGAACCTGCGGCTTGTCGTCATCCCGCAGGCGCTGCGGATCATCATTCCGCCGCTCACCAGCCAATATCTCAACCTGACCAAGAATTCGTCGCTCGCGGTCGCGATCGCCTATCCCGAGCTGACGTCCGTGTTTGCCGGAACGGCACTGAACCAGACCGGTCAGGCGGTCGAGATCATCTCGATCACCATGCTGACCTATCTGACCTTCTCGCTGCTGACCTCGGCATTCATGAACTGGTACAATGCGCGCGTGGCGCTGGTGGAGCGCTGATATGATCGATCGAACCAATGTCACCGCTCCGCCCGAGAACGTCGGTCCCGCAACGGCGTTCGTCCGCGGCAAGATGCTGGCCGAGCAGGCCGCCCCTTCCGTCAGTCGCGGCCCCGTCGGCTGGATGCGCGAGCACCTGTTTCCGAGCGTCCCACAGACAATCCTCACGCTGGTCTGTATCTATGTGCTCTATCTGATCGTTCCGCCGATCGCCAATTTCATGGTCTTCGATGCCGTCTGGTCGGGTACCGACCGGACCGCATGCGCGACCGAGGCGCAGGGCGGCGTTCAGCCCAATGGATGGTTCGGCGCGTGCTGGGCCTATGTCGGCGCCTACATGAACCAGTTCATCTATGGCCGCTATCCGGACGAGGAGCAGTGGCGTGTGAACATCGTCTGGCTGATGTTCTTCGGTGGGCTGATCCCGCTCCTGATGCCGTCGCTTCCGTTCAAGCGCGAGAACATCGCCTTCATGGTGCTGGCCTTCCCGGTGATCACGCTGATCCTGCTGACCGGCGGCAATTTCGATGTAATTGGCACCTATCTGCCGCTTGCCATCCTCACCGTGCTGGCGCTGGCAGTGGCCTACGGCTTTGCCAGGGGATCGCAATCCGACCCGATGCCGGGGCTGAAGGCCACGGCGGTCATATTCGCCAGCCTGTTCGTGATCGTCGCGGTGCTCGGCATCGACTTCGGCCTCGAACGGGTGCGGACCGACGTCTGGGGCGGACTGCTCGTGACGATGGTGATTGCCGTCACCGGCATCGCCGCATCGCTGCCGATCGGCATCGCGCTGGCGCTAGGGCGCCGGTCCGACATGCCGATCGTCCGCTTCATCTGCATCGTCTTCATCGAGTTCTGGCGCGGCGTGCCGCTGATCACCGTCCTGTTCATGTCCTCGGTCATGCTGCCGCTGTTCCTGCCCGAGGGCGTGACCTTCGACAAGTTGCTCAGGGCGCTGATCGGCGTGGCGCTGTTCTCGTCGGCCTACATGGCCGAGGTGGTGCGCGGCGGGCTTCAGGCGCTGCCCAAGGGCCAGTATGAGGGCGCGATGGCGCTCGGTCTCAACTGGGGCCAGATGATGCGCATGATCATCCTGCCGCAGGCGCTCAAGCTGGTCATTCCCGGCATCGTCAATACCTTCATCGGCCTGTTCAAGGACACCACGCTGGTGCTGATCATCGGACTGTTCGACTTCCTTGGCATCATCCGGTCTTCGACGAGCGATGCGACGTGGGCGACGCCGGTACAGAGCATTACCGGTCTGATCTTCGCCTCGATCATCTATTTCCTCTTCTGTTTCGGCATGTCCCGCTACTCCATGTACATGGAGCAGCGTCTCGACACGTCACACCGCAGCTAGGAGCCGCCTTCATGAGCGCAAACGCCGTCAAACCCGATGAAATCCATGTCGACCGGTCCAGGATGCAGGTGTCGGAGACCGATGTCGCCGTCGAGATCAACGACATGCACAAATGGTATGGCGAATTCCATGTCCTGCGCGACATCAATCTGAAGGTGATGCGCGGTGAGCGGATCGTCATTTGCGGCCCGTCCGGCTCGGGCAAGTCGACGCTCATCCGCTGCATCAATCGCCTGGAAGAACACCAGAAGGGCCAGATCGTCGTCGACGGGATCGAACTGACCAACGATCTGAAGAAGATCGACGAGGTGCGCCGCGAGGTCGGCATGGTGTTCCAGCACTTCAACCTGTTCCCGCATCTGACGATTCTCGAGAACTGCACGCTGGCGCCGATCTGGGTGCGCAAGATGCCCAAGAAGGAAGCCGAGGAGCGGGCAATGCATTTCCTGACGCGGGTCAAGATCCCCGAGCAGGCCCAGAAATACCCCGGCCAGCTCTCGGGCGGCCAGCAACAGCGCGTGGCGATCGCGCGCTCTCTGTGCATGAACCCGCGCATCATGCTGTTCGACGAGCCGACATCGGCGCTCGATCCGGAGATGATCAAGGAGGTGCTGGACACGATGGTCGGCCTTGCAGAGGAAGGCATGACCATGCTGTGCGTCACCCACGAGATGGGCTTCGCCCGCCAGGTGGCCAACCGCGTCATCTTCATGGACCAGGGCCAGATCGTCGAGCAGAACGAGCCCGATCCATTCTTCGACAATCCGCAGCACGAGCGGACAAAGGAATTCCTCAGCCAGATCCTGCACTGATCCGCGCGCAAGGCCGCCGGGCCGATGCGCCGCCTTGCCGCCGTCCTTGCGATCGTCCTCGCGCTGCCGGCACTCGCGCTCATGGCGGGCGCCGTACCGTTCCCCGCATCCGTGCCTGCCGGCGGCCCCGTGACGGCGGAGCAGCGCCACCGCATCTACGTCCTGTCGAACGGCTTTCATGCCGGCATCGCGCTGCCAGCCGATGCGATGCTGGCCGATGTTGATGGCGAGCGCGGGATCATGGCCGCGATCGGGCTCGATGAAGCCCATCACCCGGTCGATCCGGATGCCGTGCGGTACTGGCTGTTCGGCTGGGGGTCGCGCACCGCCTACACCAGCCTGCGCGAGGTGCGCGACCTGACAGTCGGCATCGCCGCTCGGGCACTCGCATTCGACGAAGCGGTGATGCATGTCCAGCCCCTCGGCGATCTCGGCACGCCGCGTCCGGGACTTTATGCAATCGAGGTGACCGAAGACCAGCTTGCCATGCTGACCGGTTCGATCGCCCCGTGGTTTGCGGCCCATGAACCCTTTGCAGGCATCGATGTCACGGAGCGGTTCCTGCAAGAGACGGGCTATGCCCTGGTGGTGCGTTCCCATCAGGCGGAGAGAGACGTTGCTCATCACGGGAGGTCGATTTTTGTATTTCCCCAGCCAAAAACAGCTTGCTGGTGCGACTAATTGGAACGACCCCTATAATCGGGGACCCCCCACCCTCTTCCCCCTTAGGGTAAGGGGAGATCACTTGGGTGTTCAACCAACGTCAGGCAAGTAGATGCTGCCTACTATTGCACAACACCTAGCCAACAGTTTTGTAGGGGCCTGAACAGTCTAGCCCAGCGCCGCCTATTGCAACATCTAGACCAGTGCTGACGATGGCACAACCACTAGCCAACAGTTGAGGGGTCAGTGTTAAGCGGGCGGGGGCTTAAACATGTAGCCTAGTGCTGCCAATTACTAGAACAGGTACCCGGGTTGGCTTATTGTACTAGGTTTACATATGGTTTGTTCTGGTTACATTTGCATGGCTTGCGATTGATTGGAAGCATTGGACATGCACCTGGAATGTGAAACCCAAGCCTTTTCAATCCTTTTTACAGTCTTGTGCGCCTATGGGATCTTTGGGTAATCCCGGGCTGACTCCCTGCTATGGGTCCATTTCAAGGGAACATGGAACTTTCCTCTTGGCTTTGGTTGTACTCCCTGCTTTGGGTCCATTTCAAGGGAACATGGAACTTTTCTCTTGGCTTTGGTTGTACTCCCTGCTTTGGGTCCATTTCAAGGGCATGGAACTTTCCTCTTGGCTTTAGTTGTACTCCCTGCTTTGGGTCCATTTCAAGGGAACATGGAACTTCCTCTTGGCTTTGGTTGTACTCCCTGCTTTGGGTCCATTTCAAGGGAACATGGAACTTGCCTCTTGGCTTTGGTTGTACTCCCTGCTTTGGGTCCATTTCAAGGGAACATGCAACTTTCCTTTTGTTTGTTTTTGGTAAAAAGGATGTAGAAGGTGTAAATCAACTGGCCTTGACTCCTCAGGTGCCTCCCAACAACGATGGCTTTTTCGTCCATCACAACAGCGCCTGGGCTTTCGGGGTACCTGGACCCTCCAACTATCCATAAAAGGGTTTTTTGAAATAAACCCTGAACCCTAAACTCTAAACCCTGAGTTTTTCCATAAGTGTGGGTGGCAACCGATTTTTTAAGTTGAAATGTGGTGGGTTCAGCCGGAGCTTTTGATGGTTGCCTGTTTTGAGACCGGGAGAGGCACACGAAAACATGAGTTCGGACTTGCTCCAAGGACTCCACTGCTTTTTGAAACATCTGGGGTTCTACTGAAAAGCTTCGATTCTCGAGTTCGATTTGCCAAACGGAAGGAGACAGTGTAAAACGAAGAAAAAAAGGACACATAAAATGACAAGGTGACAGATGTAGTAGGGAAAGCTTGGGGGGTTTTAGACACGCCCATTTGGCGTTTCCACCCGCCGAAGCCAGAAAGGCCGAAGCAGATGGATAACCAGGTCCCCCAGTAGTGCCCTTTTACCCTTTCTTGGGGGAGGGTTCCCCTACTAAAATAGACTTCAGAAACAAGGGTACCCTTATTCTAACCTCTCTGCTGGAGGACCTAGATAAGTTTCCCTTAGGCATATTGGACGTGAAGGCTTTGAACACTCCTGGGAATGGTCAAACGGCCAAGGCTCGATCCGTTTAGATGGCCATGGGGCTGTTGCCCCCCGCATCAAAATGAGGCGCCTTTTTTTATCTAGTTCGTTGGGGAACTTGCACGTTCCCAAGAAGTTAAGGGTCAAAGGTCCAACTCAACAGCCAAAGTGAGTGTCAAGCTGAGCCCTTGTCTTGTTTTGGTCTGGAAGCAGCAAGCTCAAAGCGATTTGGGCTGGCAGGATGTACCAGAAAATGTGTCAGACACGGCCCTGAATTTCCGCCTTTTCAGATTACAATACCTCCAGGTTGCTGTGGCTCTGAATATGAACTTATGTTCAATTTGAAGCGTTAATTTGAGCAGGTTGTTCCCCTTTATTGACTTGGGTAAGGCGGACAAAGTGTAAGTGCTTGGTTGTGTTCCTTCGAACCACGTCGGAGATTACAATACACAGCGGTATGCACACACACACACATGCAGACAAAAAGTCAAGGCGACTCACAACAGTTGCACAACACTCCTGCGGGATGAAATTACTTCTCAGAGGGCTAAGTGAGTCTGAGCCACTGCCAGCATTTAATAGCTTAGCTAAATCTCACGTTATGTCAATCTCAATTTATGTCAATTGCATTCTGGTAAGCCCGTTTATGTTGTTGCAGCTGGCCAGTTTTTTTTTGGTTGTGTGTGTGTGTTTGTTTTCGGCACAGCAGCTTGTTGCTTTCTCAGCTTGCCTTGCATGGTGAAGGCATAAAACCAAGTTTAGCCATGATTAGTAATTATTTAGCCCCTTATATTACACCCCTGATGAGGCACCCCATTGCAATTTATCATGAATATGATTGTGCAACTTCTTGCAGGGAGTTCCACAGTGTACGGGATAATGTAAAGCTCCCAGGAGGACATGATGGTATTGCAACCTGTGCCCCAGAAGCTTGCACTCAACCAGCAGAATGGCTTGCAACCAACAGTTTAAGAGTTCGCCAGGCAGACTTGCATTAGACCGTGGTAAACCACAGGCGAGGCCGAACCCTTAGCCTGTTCAAATCAGTTTGGCTCGAGCCGATACCTCGGTATCGGGATATCTGATTATCTCTCGACCTTGCCATTCGAACATACTCCTTGACTCAGAGAGCTGTGGGTCCCATGCTGAAGTGTAACGGGGCGATATAATACAACCACTGCTTCAACACATGCTTGCCCGTAAGTGAGCGTGCGAGTCATTGACCTTGACCCTGGTTGCAGACTTCCCCGCCAGTTGATCCAACAGAGAGATTCTCACGGAAGAGCAACTTCCCAAAGCAAACCAAGTCCTGAGGAGGTCTTTGGAAGCAGCATCCTGCGACCTCAAGGAAACCTTCTTGAGCCTGTAGGGCCTGCAGGCCGTCAGTGGACTTGAATTGCAAGGGTTGTTCTGAAAAACGTGCTGCACGCAGCCCTCATGTTGGATATACGTTGCTTGCAGGTGTTGGGCACTGGGTTCGCCCACACATAGACGTGTCTTGAACTGTCGCCCCCTGAAGCTTGCCTTGCAGCGCAACTTTCCAGCCTTTGCTCGTGCATGTTGGGGTTCAACTTCGTGACTCAGTCTTTGTCTAGCGTTGGCTTTGGTGGGTGGCCCGGCACCAAGGTAGCTTGAAACAGGTGGTTTGCTATGGGATATGTTCAGTCTTGCAGGAGTAAGTTAGATGGCATCATGAGTGGCATGTTGCAGCTTCAGACTGCTACCGTGGTTGGCAGACACAATCCTCACGCCTTTTCAGTTTGCAGCTGCTGCAACGCCGCAACTTGCCATTCCTTAGGCCCTCCAGGGTGGCGCGCGTTGGGCTTCAATTCAATGAGGAAGTCTTGGTCTGGCATGTCCTTTAGCTGGCTTCGCATCAAGGTATCTTGCAAGAGGTTGCTAAACATGGGATATGTTCAGGCTTGCAGGGGAAGTCTGGGAGCCTGGGGAGGGGTGTTGCCTTGAGAAAAGGCCTGCAGTCGTTCGGACCAACTAGTTTGGCTGTGCCTAGAACTTCGTGGCACGCTTCAGCTTTCGACTGCTGCTTTGGTCGGCAGACGCAGTACTGCTGGCTGCGCTCACAGCTTTTCGGTTGGACACTTTGCCCCGCAGCACCGGCAGCGCCGCAGCTTTCCAGCCCTTGGCAAGCGTTGGTGTTCAACTGCCTGAAGCAGTCTTGGTCTAGCATTAGCTTCAATGGCTGGCTTTGCACCAAAACTGCTCACAAAAGGTTGCTTGGAGCGGCGGTATGTTCAGGCTTGCTTGAGAAGTTTGCTGGGAACCTGAGGAGTGGGGTGTTGCCTTGACTTGAGAAAACACCTGCAGTCGTTGGGACGAACGAGCTCGGCTGTGCCCAAAGCTTCGTGGCAAGCTTCAGCTTGTGGCTGTTGCTGTGGTTGGCGGATGCAGACTGCTGGCTGCCCTCACAGCTTTTCTGTTGGACACTTTGCCCTGCACCGGCAGCGCCGCAGCTTCCCAGGCCTTGTGCTTTCAAGGCGCAGTCAGCATTCGCGTTATTGAGCCGTAGAGGTTGGCTTCTTGTCAAGGTATCTGGTAAGAGGATACTTGCGCTGGGATATGTAGGAGGAGTCTCGAATTGCATTGTGAGGAGCACAGGGAGCCGTTCGGACCAACCAGCTTTGCTATGCACACAGCTTCAGCTTCGGCCCGCTGCGGTTGGCAGACACAGCACTGCTGGCCTCACGGCCTCACACCTGTTGCTTAGCTTTTCGGCTGCGAGCAGAAGACGGGAGCACGTCGGGAATTGATTTGAAGGATGCAGTGCTGGTCCAGCATTTGCCAGCCAGTGGCTTCGCATCACCGCTCGGACATGCAAGAGGT